CAACCAGAAGTCGCTTTACCTGCGCAATGACCAGTTGGTGGCCGGGCACCTGCAAGGGGCCAACGCGGCCCTCGAAGGTGAGATGGGGACATGGGGGACACACACAGGGCCGAAGGGCACGTCCTGATGGCCCCGTGTGCGTCCCCACAAACAGAGAAGGTGTTTTGGGTCCCCAACCGCGCCTTCGAGCCCGCCCGGCTCCCCGTCATCCTGGGCATCCAGAACGGCACCCGCTGCCTGGCCAGCCCCCCTGCCAGCCAGCCCACCCTGCAGCTGCAGGTCTGGACACCACGGGGACGGGGACACCGTGGGGATGGGGACACTGCAGGGACACGTGTGCGTCCCCACAAACAGAGAAGGTGTTTTGGGTCCCCAACCGCGCCTTCGAGCCCGCCCGGCTCCCCGTCATCCTGGGCATCCAGAACGGCACCCGCTGCCTGGCCAGCCCCCCTGCCAGCCAGCCCACCCTGCAGCTGCAGGTCTGGACACCACGGGGACGGGGACACCGTGGGGATGGGGACACTGCAGGGACACCAAAGGGATGGGGACACCATGGGGATGGGGACACTGTGGAGATGGGGAGGCTATGGGGATGGGGACACCAAAGGGATGGGGACACCAAAGGGATGGGGACACCATGGGGATGAGGACACTGTGGAGATGGGGAGGCAATGGGGATGGGGACACCAGAGGGATGGGGACACCATGGGGATGGGGATGCCACTGGATGGGGACAGATCAGAGATCCTGACCTCTATGGTGTGAGCAAGGGAGGGGACACCGGCATGGGGATGGGGACACCATGGGGATGGGGAGGCTATGGGGATGGGGATACTATGGGGACATCAAAGGGATGGACTGTGGAGATGGGGAGGCTATGGGGATGGGGACACCAAAGGGATGGGGACACCAAAGGGATGGGGACACCATGGGGATGAGGACACTGTGGAGATGGGGAGGCAATGGGGATGGGGACACCAGAGGGATGGGGACACCATGGGGATGGGGATGCCACTGGGATGGGGACACCAAGAGGATGGGGACACTGTGGGGACACCATGGGCATTCCATGGGGACGGGGACACTACAGGGACGCCATGGGGATGGGGATGCTACGGGGACAGGGACACTGTGGGTGTGGGGTCATCATGAGGACATGAAGGGAATGGGGGTGCTTTGGGGACAGGGACACCACAGGGATACCATGGGGCTGGGACGACACAGGGTTGGGGACTCCATGGGGACACCATAGGATGGGGACACTATAGGAAGGGGAACACCATGGGGATGGGGACACCATAGGATGGGGACACCATGGGGATAGGGGCACCATGGGGATGGGGCCACCATGGGGAAG